TGGAATTCAGTGTGCCTTGAATAAACAGGTTGCCGAAATGTATTTATTTTTTTTAGTCCTTGAAACTGGTAAGAAATACAAAAAATGGAATTCCAGCTTTGCATTTCGTTTAATTAAATTTGAAAGAAACAGAAAGGATATTGTTCTTTCCAGAGGAAAAAAGTTTGATAAACTGATGGCAGATGCTGGAACCCTATGGAATGAAGTAGGTCTAGACATAAAGCATTTTCATTAGCATCTGAGGGCTGACTTTGTGAGTAGAAATAAATATCTTATAGACGAGTTTTGTTTTTTTTATTTTGCTTTGTACACTAAAAGCAACTCAAAAGATGCCAATCATTTTTAAACTAGAATAGTGGCCAGGCTATGGACCTTTAAATAATTACACATTCTTAACAAGCAATAAAGATGTTTAAATTAAACCATCACAGAAACCGGATGACCACTTTCTGTTCAACAGATCTTGCTGGAGAGTCAGCATGATGGTGTGACATCTGTACATCCATTGTGGAGCATTTTGTTCTCAAATTTCACAACAGAAGCAGTGAACACTTTTAAACCAGTTCTTAGAACTCTTTTCACCTGCACTGTATTTTCATTTCTCAACAACTTCAAATTGTAGGAACCTTTGAAATTATTTTCAGTTATCAGGGATCCTCTGTCAATAATTGCAATATCTACAGCTCACAGTACAATAGCACGGTGTTAGCATTGGGAAGGATGCTTCTTACATTGGTGGTCATTGGAAAGAATGCACCTTACCCATGTGGTCAGTGGGAAGAATGCCCCTTACATAGGTGATCAGAGGAAATGATACTTCTTACACTGGTGGTCATTGGGAAGGATGTCCTTACATTTGTGGTCAGTGGGAAGAATGCCCCTTACATAGGTGGTCAGTTGGAGGAATGATACTTACATTGGCGGTCAGTGGGAAGAATGCCCTTTACATAGGTAGTGAGTGGGAGGAATGATTCTTACATTGGTGGTCAGTGGGAACAATGCTTCCCACTGCCAATACAGATAGCTAAAATGATCAATGATGTCAGTAGTTACATACGGGTCTGGGGAGCAGAAACTGCTCATTGCTCAGGGTACCCCTAGCAACCTCTATAAGAATCATAGGGTTCCGTGTAACCATGGTTGAGAAAGGCTGCATTTTTAATTAAAAGGCTAGCAAGCTGCAGAGAGCTAAGCTATAAACAGCAAATAAAAGGAAAATTGAGAAGTTTCTGCTGAGTAATAATTACTCCACAGTTCCATATCTACAGAGGTAAGTAAGTGTTTAAGGCTGGCTTCACATCTAGTTACTTTCCTTAGGGTGGCCACAGTTCTACAGATTTGGAGAATCTTGTCAATATCAAGGTATGTATATATCAGCTCAGTCATATATTTGTCTCTTGGCAAGTCTATCAGCTAGCTCATTGAGCACCATGTCTGATATACATTGGACTTTTTCCGTAGAATTTTAGTTAGTTTTTTATGAGATGGGTTTTTCCTCAATTTCCTCCCCACTTGCTCTGGCTTTGGACTTGCATGCAGAATGTGACAGCACGTGAATAGCCAGTTTGTAAATCTGCCTTCAAGCGGAGGTCCACTCACCCTGTCAAAAAATAAAAGTCAGCAGCTACAAAAACTGTAGCTGCTGGCTTTTAAAAAACAGCTATTTACCTGTCCCACGGTCCCGTGGTGTGTCCCCCGCAGCCCGTTTCACCCGCCATCTTGTATTCCAGGAGGCCGGCATCTTCAGTGTGGGCACCCGGCTGTGATAGCTTGCGGCTTCACAGCCGGGTACCCACTGCGCATGCGCAAGAAGCGCTGCACTTCATGAATGGTCCTGTAGTCTTCTGGGACCTGTCACGTGTCCCAAAAGACTACAGGGAGGGAGGGAGGACACCTTCCGTTTCCGATCGCCTAGGCAATCTGACCGGAAATGGGAGCTGGTACCTGTCAATCCTTAATGGGGAGCAGTCCTTAAAGCAGAACTTCCCCTTTTGGGTGGGAGCTCCGCTTTCATGTCTTTGGTTTCTGGACCCATGCAAACAGAGGGATAACATGCAACTCCATGTAGCCTGTGTACTGGCCAAGATTCAGACCAAGGACCCAAGTGCTGCAAAGAATAGGGGTATCCATATGTGCTGGTCAAACTTGTAGAAACTAGAGCTAGTAAATGACTATACTTTTCATTGGTTAATATTACGCTTATTTGGTAGGATAAATAGCAATTTTTAGTACGATATAACCAACAGCAACAAATAGGGCAATTATCTTCCATTGTCTTCCAGTGTTTAGACAATATATATTACTGTAGAAGCTGAAATCTAGTTTGTTTCCTGTCTGGGTTAATACACAGTAGATACCATCAGTGTGTTATCACTTGTTTTTTAAATAAGCCTGTGTTCAGTGCAATGAATTGAGTAAGTACATAATGACATCACCTACTGTACTTACATTGCTTATATTGGCTCTGTTTCAAACACAATATGACCCTTCAAAGCTACGGATTTATTTTAGGTGTATCCAAAGAGCTTAGTAAATAAGGGTAAGCTTTACTGAAATTCATCATCAATTATGTGCATCCTTGCATGTGATTGTGTATTTTGTGCAAAGTGAAAGTGGTTGTAAAAGCTCAAGGTAAACAACCTTCTGTGTGCGGCATCCCCCTCAGCCCCCCTAATACTTACCTGAGCCCCATCACGATCTAGTGATGTGTACAAAAACTTTGGCTCTCCTGGGTCTCTGACTTCTCATTGACTGAGACAGCAGCGGAATCCATTGGCTCCTGATGCTGTCAATCACAACTAGTAAGCCAATGAGAAGAGAGATGGGATGGGGCCGAGCTGCTACTCTATGTGTGAATGGAGCTCGGGAGCACACCTGCTCAGGTGCCCCCATAGGAAGCTGCTTGCTATGGGAGCACCCGACAGGAAAGAGGAGCCAAGAGTGTCGGTGGGGGACTGGAGAAGAGAAGGGTCTGGGTTGCTCTGTGAAAAACCATTACACTGAGCAGGTAACTATGACATGTTTGTTATTTAAAAAACCTGAAGTTTCGCCTCATTTACTAAGCTCTGGAGCACCTGGAGCAGTCTCTGTGCAGGAAAATCCCTCTTTCAGAATAAAGAAATAAGCAGTTCTTTGCCATGTAACCCTGGACCCTTGATTTTACCTGTTCATTGTTCAATCCCTTTCCTTTGAATCTTCTGTGTTCTGTTCTCTAGTTTGCTTCCAGAAATGTGTATAGACAGATATCTGATATTTTTTTTTTCATCCAATAACCGAGACATTATTTTTGCAAGCTTCATGAATCAGTAATATGCACAACTGCACAGTCTGTAACACAAAGTGTATGAATGATTTCCAGAAACAGCTGTGTACATTATTAATGGAGTTTGATTCCTCAACACGGTGTCCTCTGACCTGATCTAGTACAGTATTTTGCACAGTCTGTTCCTCTCTATGTGTTCTTTCTTTTATTGCTCACTGACTTTAGCTGAAAGCTTACTGAACCGCATGCTTTTAATACACAGGCTTCATAGAAATTCTTTATTGGAAACATCCATCCTGTCACATAGTATCAGTGGTTAAAAGTTTATTAAATGATTAGAGGCTGTATGACTGTCAATTTTAATGCATGTTTACCAACACAGCTGATCTGGAGGAGCACATTTTCTCTGTAAATTAAATTCCAAATGAACAAGGAATTTGAAGAGGCGCATATTGTTCAGACCCTTTATTAACATTAAATGTCAGCATATTAATTTTGTGCCTTGAGCCTGTATGTTGGGAAGGCTGCCAGCGTATTTAATACAAGAAGTCTGCTTTAATAAACACTTACAGTACAGTTACTGCTCAAAACAAAGTGCTTATGAATTGCACAGCTGACAGCAAATTATAGTTGTTAAATGGATAGTTTAAGAAATAATAGAAACCGTATCTGTGCGAAAATGAACAGGATTCACCGTCTGTCTCTGGTGGAATATGCATTAAACCTCAGAGGCTTTCTTCTATTTTACTATTGATTGTATAAAGTTTTGTGCTTGTAGCAATGGCAGGATATTAAGAAAAATGAAATAGTTTTGTATGATCACAATTTCCAAGCAAATAGTGTTTACCCTACTTACAAGCTCAATTTCTAAAAAAATTGGGACGCTGTGTAAAATCTACATACAAACAGAATGCAATGATTTGTAATTCTCATAAACCCATATTTTATTTACAGGAGTGCCGGGTATAGAGGGGGGTCAGTCCACCAGCGGTACACTGGTAACATTAAAGTCAGGACCTCTGCAGCCTCTGGACCGGCTGAGTGATGTCAGCAGACAGCGGACTTTAGCTGAATATGAGTCCCAGGAGTCCAGAGCGAAGTGCACTCCTGTCATCTTTAGGAGGAGTAGGGCCAAAAGAGCTTTTACCCTACTTTAAACTGAGAAAACTTACCATTGTAAGAAAAAAATAAGGTTATTTTGAAATTGATGGTAGCTGATTATGTTGAACATTATTCTGAGCTTTGTCAACAATTTTTAGATGTACCTTTTATGGATTACAAATGAAGGGAATTCCTTGGGGACCCCGAGGTCACCAGAAATTGTGTCCCCATTGGAAGATTTCCCCTTTGGGATTTTGTTTTACTTTTACTTTCAATAATCATGGTAAACAGGTCAAATAGAAAGGTGATTCTCCCTAACGGGAGGCATAGAGAGCAAAAACTGACAGGGGTTCTAATCCCTCTGTGCTCTATCCAAAACAAAAAAAAAAAAATCAACATTGAGTGTTTGCTTTATTTTTCTTTGAAGAATAGTGATATTTTTCAGGTATTTTTCGTAAAAGGCTCAGTATTTTGATTTTAAGGGTACCTTTGTTTAGATCAATTAAAGATCATGGACTTCAACAGCATTGGATAACAGCTGAAGATGCATTTTGGTTAGTCTAGGTTTTTGCGGACAATGCTGCGCCACAGCTTTATTGCACAAAGGGGTACTCTTTCCTTATAAATAATATTGGGAACAGGGGCGGACTGACAACTCATGGGGCCCCCGGGCAATAGGGGATCATGGGGCCCCTGTGTCCTTTCCGAAACTCAAAAAAGCCTATAAAAAAGGTACCAAGGGCATCTCATGGGGCCCCCTACTGACCCCAGGCCCTCAGGCAGTGCCCGAGTTTCCAAATGGTCAGTCCGCCCCTGAAACTGCGGCAACTGCAGTACTGCGATTTGTGTTTTAACGCGGCCGGCGGTCAGGTTAGGGTCATGTACATGGAGTCTTAGAGTGCTGATAATGACAATTCATGCAAATTATCTGAAGGGACAAGTACAAAATGTTTTCTTGTATTATACCAGAATTAATGATTTTCCTTTAACCGCTTGAGGACCGCCCTATAGCAGATATACTTCTCAAAAAAGCGTATGAAAAAGTGAAAAAGGTACCAGGGGCATCTCATGGGGCCACCTACTGACCCCGGGCCCTCGGGCAGTGCCCGAGTTTCCAAATGGTCAGTCCGCCCCTGGTTGGGAACCTCAATATCTGTTTGTGTTGTGCCATCAAAGCAAAACCTTAGTAGTTTGCATGTCCGCCTTGCAGCACTGGAATCCATTGTTCTAGACACTATTTGCATGAAGTTTGGATGTTCTCTCTGTGCTTTTGAGAGTTTCTTCTGGGTACTCTGGACAAGGCTTTCTAATTTACCTAATGTGAATGAGCCAGCAAAAAGTAGAACCTTTGTCAAATTTTTACAGCTGCTTGTACTTCTGGAGGGTAAGTGAGGGCTTGGAAATCTCCACAAAGCAGAGAGCAATGAAAAACTTTTATAATAGCATGAAAAAGATTAAAATCTTTGTTTATATTGCTGTCTGTATCTCATTGGGGCAGGGTGTTGCCAAGGTGGGAAGTTAGGGAAAACTTCCCTAATACTGCACAGAAAGCAAAATCTGAAGAAAGCTAGGTACACACTATAAGAAAATTGGAAGAAAAATTCTGTAGAGGAACGATTGATCGATTATCTGATCATTAATATAGGGCTTTCGACAGCCGATTCTGACTATTTATTAAAAAGAAAAAAAAAAACAAGGGGTGCAAGCTAGAAAATTTTTCGAACGAGAATACAAAGTCCAATTTTGCTCAATGTGTACAGTTATCGTACGGAAATAATTGAAATGAAAAAAATGCACATGATCAGAAGCAAAGAATTACCCGGAAGAAGGTGGCAACAAACATAGAAATCCTACACAAGAAAGAACGTCTGCCTTTGTTGTTCGAGAATTTTCATACAAGTTAATTAATTTAATATGATCGTTTGTCCGATTTTCTCATAGTGTATACACCACTTTAGGGGTCTCATCCTTCACCACTTTACCTAAAACAAAAAAATGTTTTGATTTGAGTTCTTTCTAAGCTCACACACCACTTCTCTGGTCTCCACATTTAAAATCAATTGTCTTCTTAAAGTAATCGGCCTATATAACACAATAGAAACTTAGTCATAACAACTCTAGCATTTATGGTTGAATAGTACATTTTTTGTTAGAAATAGCACAGGAATGCTTATTCTCCATTTCTGGCAAGTATGCAGGCTCTTCACATTGACTTGAAAGATAATTGCATGTTCTGTCAAGGCAGCACACAGACTCTCTCAAATACACAGATATGAAGACACCATTGTTGTTGCATAACGACAGAAGATTATGTAGTTGGGGAGGGGGGAATCACAATTTTTCAAACAGGCTTATCATTACCATATTTTTTTTTTATGGAGATTAGAAAAACTGACATATTAAATCCCTAGAGACTCCACTTATGCGCAGACTACACTCATTCTGAAAGCCCTGGAGTCTTAATTAAAGCTAGGATATGTATTTCATTATTCTTTACCTGTGTAAGCAGATTTAGAACGTACCTACTGGGAATGTGAGAAAGGAGCACTGGGAACTCAACAGCTTCTGCTCATATTAGGTTTTTGACGGCCTCTTAATATTTGCAGTTATTTGATGGAAAGGATCTGTTTTCTGGCTTTGAAAAAATGCTATTTTCATTCTCCCACAAATTAATATATTTGGTTTGCTGGGCTTCTCTTTTATTTCATGAACCCTTTATGGTGTACAATTTAATGATATAAGCTGCAAAAGAACTATTTGCATGACGGTAGCCAGAAGTGTCATTTTTTCCCTATGGGTGATGTTGATTTCGGTCATTTTGTTCCAAGTGAGATCCTCCCTTGTGCTGCTACTTAATGATGGATCAGAGACACATTACAATGTGAAATCCCTCCCCCAATTTGCAGGTAAACAATATTTGCTAGCTGTCAGCTGTTAAGAGCCACAAGGTATACTATAGACCACCGTTACACTTCCAGAGAAATTCTTTTTACAATTGGCAGAACACTGAATCCAATGGTTTACCAGTTCAGTAATGCCTTTAATATACAATTATGTGTGCGTTCCATGACAGAGCCATGAATACATATTTTATCCTTTGTTTTTAATTTGATATTTTTTGAATATGGCTGGATAAACACACTGTCAAAGAAAAACCATCCAACACAGGTACTTCTTGATCCCCAACTAAACACCTCACAGGTTTGTCAGAAGAAGAAAGAGAATGTGCCTCAACTTAACAATATTTTTTTTTATGTGATCATGAGTTACCAAAATGTCTTCATGTCCTTGCTTCAGCAGAACGTATACTAAAATGTCTTTGAGGCGTTGCAGCCATTAAAACAAATAATTTCTAAAACTTCCTTTTATGATGGGGTCTGATTCTTGATGTTGAAATTGTATATATTTTATTTTATGAAGAATATAGTAGAATACAAAGACTAACTGAAGGTGGGCAGGAGTAGAGCCAGAAAATATGGTAGTAAGATCCTACCATGAATGTGTATGATTGTCTGGTATACTCTGGATCACCAACAGAACATTCATGAAAATTATTTTTAAATGTTGTTTTCTCAGGTCAATGATATGTATTAAAAAGTTGCTTACTTTATTTTTTACTGTATGGTTTACAGTATATGGACCATATTGGATATATGTTATCAAAGTTATGAAATAATAACCGTCTAGAAAAATTCAATCTCATATCGATCAGTGAAAACAACAGATGTGAGGTGCTTTGTTATTATTCTCTGCAGTTTAAGAAATTAAAGCAAAGGTTGGGTTAGTTTTACAGACAAAAGCCACCTAGTGCTTCAATAGTACAAATAGCTCTGGGCAAAATAAACCAGAGATATTACCAAGCATTACGTTTGATTCCATCTGTCATTTTCTTGTGCATGGGAGAAAATATATAATTGGTTGCTATGAGAAACAATTTATATTCTGATTTTGCATAAATCAGCCTCTTTCAGGCTTAATAAATAAATCGCTACAAAAAGTCTTGCACAAAATGTAGTAGCCCATAGAAACTTTAATCAAGAGTTGATATCTTGGTGGTTGGCATAATTTTTTCACGTTGCCCATTACTCTTTGCCTTCCTGAATAAGCCTGACTCCCATTGTTTTATTGGCAGTTTACTTGTCTACAACTGGGTTTCTTTTTGCAGGATAGAGGTTTAAATCAATGGTTTCCCTCCGGAATAATAAGAAGGGAAATGAACTGAATTGCAATTACAATTATGTTGATTAAAGTCATGTTAACTGCGCTTTACTGCTGCTACTCAATTTCTATGCACTATCTTTGTGATTGATTTGACCGCACTTGAATCACCTTTATGAAAGCTTACAGCACTTATTATTATGTTCATGCTGCAATTAGGCCCACAAGGAAAACGTTCCTTAGAATGAAGAAAAACAAAACAAGTGATTGCTGAAATTGTTGTAAACTTGTCTCGGATATAAATGTTCTTTTCCTTTTCATATTGAGGAAGAGAAATCACATTCATGTGAATAATGTAGAATGTGTGCTTGTAAATACTAGGTATTGTAAATATTTTCAGGGTCTCTTGGTTGCTGTACATTGATGATAATCCTTTCTGAACAGAAATCTCAGTAAGAATTTTCTTTAACTCAAATAGGTAGTTAGTGGAAGCTTTGTGTGCAGTAAAATTAGCAATGAGTCCAGCTAGGTTCACACTTTCACTGTGATTTTGTAGTGAAACATCAGTGTGTTTTTGACACTTTTTTTTATTGTAATGCATTTTTTTGTAGGGGAAGGAGACTGCTCAATACACAGATGCCGGTCGTTAAGGAGCCAGCACATGCCAGGGTTCTAACAACCAGTGAATCATCCATGCTGATTCCCAACTGACAGCAGAATGTAAACAAAGGAGCAAGGTTTGGTATGGTATAGATTTAAGGGGAACCCCACAAAAAAATGGTGTGAGGGCCCCTAAAATCTATACCAAACCCTTACTCAAGCATGCAGCCTGGCAGGCAAAGAAAGGGGGGGGGGGGGTGAACATGCGCCCATAGCAGGTCACATACTCTCAACATTGGAGGGAGGATTTTGCCCCCCAATCCCCCCCACAGCCAAGCCCCTTGTCCTTATGTTGATGAGGATAAGGGCCTCTTTCCCACAATCTGTTGTACATCCATCATCAGTCACAGCATCCAGCCATGAAGATCCATGTCAATCATGATGAATGATGGTCGCCAACCTGCACGAAAAACAATCCGCCCCATCCGTGAGAATTCCCAGATTGCAGCAGGGATGAGTCAATGATTGTTAGGGCGCTGGTGGGTTATGGCTCCTAACAACCAACACAAAACGCTGGCAAAAACTCACCAAAAATGTATGACATGGATTTTTGGTGCATTTCCATTAACGTCTATGGGGTCAATATTGTGCAGCAACCGCACTAAAGTAGCACTGGCACCTTTTCCAAAAACATGCCATATGCTGCTTTGGATGTGAACAGGCACCATAAATAATTATGTGATTACCATTGCCATGTGATTCTGTGTGACACAGTCACATCGGAAATTGCACTAGTGTGAACCAGCCTCAGTTTGCTAGGTGTATTGCTCAAGTTGACAGCAATGCAGATTGGATACTCTAGTGCATATATATCTTTATTCAGATTTATGTGTTAGGCCCCTTTCACATGAACGTTCCGTTTTTTTTATCAGTTAAGTCTTGTTTTTTCCCAAAAAAATTTAATCAGTTTTTCATCAGCTTACATCAGTTTACATCCGTTTTTCATCCATTTTTTCATCCACTTACATCCATTTCCATCTGTTTCCATCCATTTACATCCAATTTTCATCCGTTTTCATCCGTCTACATCCACTTTTTGTCCGTTTACATCCATTTCCATCTGTTTACATCAGTGTTTTTTTTGTTCGTTTTCATCTATTTATATTGTTTTTGTACGTTTACATCCATTTCTCTGCTGTTTTTTTTTTGGAAATGGAAGAAAAATAGGGTTTTCTTCTATTCAAAAAATGGATGTTAACGGATGTAGACATTAATGTATGTAACAGATGATCATCCGTTTACATTTGCTAGTCCATAGAAATACATGGGTGTCCGTTTTTCATCCGTAAATGGAATGATGAAAAACAGACATACGGAACGCCCGTGTGAAAGGGACCTTACAGTCTTAGTACAATACAATGATCTACATATTAGTTGAACAACAACATGAAGAAAAAGAAGAAAAAAAGGGGGATATGAAAAACAGTAAAACAATGGTCAATCAATAATGAGCAATATTGAATGTAGGAAGATATATACCTGGGTAGGCCTGTGATTGGACATCAGCTAGGTTCTAATATGTCTGATGGGGCTGATACAGTTGAGGTTCTAGAAAAGAAGACACTCCAACTGCTAAAGGGATAACAAACACATGCAACCATCAGTACAATTTTTTAAACATACACATTGAAAAAAATATTTCTTTAAAGAAAAATAATTATTGTTCAGTACACTTTTGCTTCTTGGGTTGTGATCATTTTTCATTATATTCCTAATGGAAACTAGTTCTCAAAAGATTTTTTATGAATTCCATGGACAGAATTTGGGTTTTTGACCTTTGTCAAGCATATGAACTAACTCAGCATTTAAAATATAGCTAGTAATTTCCTACTTGGATTTTTCCTCATGTTCATTGAATGTCACAACCTACTGAATTTTTTTTTTTTCTTAACATATTTGCAAGTTCAGCATTTCAGAACCTTAGCTGTACTGGTTATCTCTTACGTGATCTGTATCACAGCATCCTGTATGAATATTTCACCACTCATTATCATCTTGTCATCACTTTTAAGTCATTTTAGTGGTCCAGGAGTTAGCAGGGTGCCAGGATAGGCCAATTTTACATTGCCCTGCCAAGGGCATAAGCTGTACTATGAAATTCTAAACCATTCTTAGTCAACAAACAATATGTATGTTTTGGATTGCCTCATAACTTTGTCTCAATCAATGTATTTGGGGTAACGATTTTGGAAACCTTCCATGTTGCATCTGTTTTACATGGCTGCATCACCTCAATTCTTATGTTGAAAGAGTAAAAGTTCTACTTGTGATGACAATAGATTACCAAATGTAACTTTAGATTTGTCATAAGATCTGTATTATCATCATCATTAACAATAGGCAGATGTTGATCGGGCATAAAGGGGCTGACCTTTAAAAAATCTTGGCATGAGATGTCTTTTTTCAGGCGTCATCTGGAAGTTTGGTTTGCAAATCAAACATCTAAACCTTTCAGATTTGCCCATTTGGATATATGGTCAAGCCAGTGGAAGGTCAGATGACTTGTATTTTTATTAATGTACCCTTAAAAGTAGAACCTGTACTTCTCTGCATTTTTGGAAATATAACTTTTATTGCATAACGTGAAAATACAGCATTATGTATATTGCAACTCATAGCGTTTTAGCTTGTCTTAGTTAATACAGCACAAATTGTGAAATGCCCCATGTATTTAAGCTGAAAGTTGTATCTGGTTTTCTAACACAGTGGTATGTTCACTGGATTATGTTATTTATAATATGTGTGTGTGTGTGTGTGTTTGTTTTGATTTTGGCAGTTGTGTCTAATATTTAACTGTGTTTTTTGATGAGGACAGTGATTTAAAAAAAGGTATTATTTCTTTTTTTTCAGATTCCGAGTTGGGTATCAGTTTACTGACAACAAACAGCAGCAAAGATGCTTCAGGTCCAGTTCTACCAAAAGTGTCGGGACTAGAGAGGAGTCAAGAGAAGAGCCAGGAGATCACCCAGGACCTGCAGTTTGACTCAGTGGTGTGTAAGGACCTGTGCCCACCATCTCTGCCTGCAGTGCAACCAGAAATAGAGGCACAACCGTGTCTCTCATCTCCTGGGCCAGCTGTAATTTCCCTCTCAGAGACACCGACACAAACACAGCAGGAGCCTCCTCAGCTTCCTCATGCTTCTCTAGAGCAAGAAGCACCTTTGCCACCTCGGCCACAAGTGCAGCTGCCACCAAAGGCTCAGCCACTTCCTCAACAACCTATTCATCCAAGCTCTCCAGCAATTCAAACACGACCTCCCTCTCAGTCATTGTCACAGAATTTGTGCAACTACAACAGCAGCAGCTTAAGTGTGAACAGTTTAAGGTTTGTTCAAACATTGCTTTCATATATTTATATATATGTTGTTGCGCCTGTGTACTAAATATCATTAGCCTTATTTGTTGGGAGCTGAAAAAGAGCTTCATTCTAATGAAAAAGCTTTATGCTGTTTAACAGGGGTAACTCTTCATTGGAGAGAAAACATATTTTTGCTGCTCGCCTATGACAAAAGAAGGAGTGGCTACGCACAAGAATAAATAAATCAATGTGTGGTGGAGCAATAGGAACTCCAAAGAATTTTGTTTTTACAAAAAAGTTTTCATTTTCATATCATTATCAAACTGATAATGTAGGTATCTGGTTTACCTGTTTGACCTAACTTTAAGTCACTCTGTCAACTAAATAAAGCTGCCAGCAATTATAAAGTGCAAGCACTCAGTGGTGCCTACATATACCTGCAACAGCTTGTAGGCATCCAACTACTCCCATCCCCTTTCCTCCCTGAATCATGGCTCTTTTGATTGGGGAATGATCTGACACTTACTGGTACTGTCATAGCTTACTCTTTACATCCTCTACTTACTGTATTCCTATTGACCAGTGATACAGCTATTCTAAGCGATGAGCCATTAGACATGGATGGGCGGTGGCAGGGAGTAAACATTGACACTAGGGGGAAGTGTGCTGCCTTTGCCACTTTGTCAGAAAAGCCCTAGAGTTGGTCTTATCAGCTAGATCAGTAGTCTGCTACAGGTAAATGTTATGCCTGTTAGCAAAGTTTTATTTTATTTTTTTTTTTTTTTTTTACATACAGTTTAACACCAGTGCTATACCTGAATTGGCAAAATGACTGAAAGACTAGGTTTTTATTTTCTATATTGATTAGAAGGAGAAATGTTTTGTTCCACTATATTGTTTTTTAATCCCATTACTTGCAAGTCAAGTCTTTTCAGTTTGGATTGTGAGTTTTATGTGTGAATGCTGAATATACCTTGATGTTCTTGTTAATAATGTGTTGTTATTATTATGTGTATACATTTTGTATTCTGTTACTTCATCTTTCTTTTATTGTGCTTGAGAAAGGGACATCGTTCTTACAAAGTTTTAATTTAGGATTTTTTTTAGGTTACCACAAGAAAGTATCCCTTTTTCAAGACTTTCTGCCCAGTTATCTACAATTAAATTTCTGGAAGGGCTGTCTAATTCATTGAACAGTTTGCCAAACTAGCTTCCTCTTCAGTCTGTATACTGGCTGTTGTGGTAAACAAATCTGACATAGACAATTGCTATTTGAATAGAAGTAACCAGTTTATGTGCAATAATTCTTCCAAAAAGATAGCCAAGCACATATTTCTCTCTCTTTCTTCACAGTAGCATTGGTGGCATACAGTAGTATGTTATTAATATTTTATTTCCTTATTCATTGTGTCCTTAATGCAGACTTGTCATATTTTCAATCGTATTAGGTTTTCACAGTGATCTGAAAGCAAGCATCTAGCAGTGACAACATAGCTTTCAAATAGTTTATTAAAAAATGGACATTACATTTTTTCTAACGTAACATATAGCCAGTTATGGTTTGATTGTGAAGATTGACTATACTTTAGTAGCATAAATACCCAGTATTTTCCACATTTCCTAACAGAGAAATGACAAAAGCATGAAAAAATTATTTATATCAGGAAAAAAAATAATGGCCATTTTTTTTTTTTTACAAATGTTACTTCTTTAAGTTGGTGAAACTGAAGAAAAGCAAATTAGCAAAAAATTTGATCAGTCCGAAGTTTTGTTTAATTTTACTATTACATTAATTATGAAAACTCGGTTGCCTTTGGTAACAGCTTTGATTTTCTGTTCTCCCGTTTTAATGAGTCAACCTCCAAGTAATACATTATTCTTAATACAGTCTTATTTTATTGCTTATTTACATACTTATATACTTTTTCTTTCTACAGCAGCAGCAGAAGTAGCACTCCTGCCAAAAGTCAAGTGCCACCGTCTCACCTGTCTCATCATCCTTCAGCTTCTCCGTATCCTCTGTCTTTACCAAGCCACAGTCCTTTACATAGCTTTACACCCACCATCCAACCTCCGGCACACCAGCACCACCCAAATATGTTTGCCCCACCCGCTGCTTTACCTCCTCCACCACCACTGACTTCAGGGACCCTTCCAGTTCCAGGACACCCAGCTAACAGCACATACTCAGGTACTGCTGATAAATTAGTAAAAAAAAAACCTTCCATGACTTTATAAATGTATTTCCGTACAGGTCAGTCTAATATTTTCAGGAAATGATACAGTATTACCTAATAAACTTTTCTTTTGGTATTTTTCAGAACAAGACCTTCTTAGACAAGAGCTGAACACTCGTTTTTTGGCTTCACAGAGTGCAGATCGTGGCGCATCATTGGGCCCACCACCCTATCTAAGGACAGAGTTTCATCAACACCAGCATCAGCACCAGCACACTCATCAGCATACACACCAGCACACCTTTACACCTTTTCCGCATGCCATCCCGCCAACTGCCATCATGCCAACTCCAGCACCGCCCATGGTGCGTACCCCAGGCAGAAATGTGAGGATAAGTAGAACACAACTCTATTATTTTCAGTATGGTTATTGCCCTTATGAAAGGCACTATATAAATACATGTTATTGTTGTACTTATGTTTAAGAAAATCAAATGGTAACAAAGATGACCGATAACCTCTTTGATGCTAACAATTTGTGCTACTTTAAATGCTAGTGCAGGAAATTGCATCTATGTGTTTATGGGTTTTAAGTTATTGACATTTGTGGTCTGACTATGCAGATTTGTTCTAAGAGTTATATTCAGTATGGTACACATTGAATAATGTATATTATGTACTGTATTTGTTTGCATAATTTGGTAATTATAAAGGGGCAATAAATTAAAATATAAGTTGCCTGAGGCAAGTGAGGTATTAATATAAGTTATCCTAAATATGTAAATGTTCACATATATTGACATGAAATAAATTATGGCTGCATTTGTTGTGTACAAGATCGTTGTACCTATATAGCCAATTAAGGCTGAAGAAAGGGTTTTCTACTACTATATGCAGGAAAACATTCTTGTATGCTTTGACTTTTGTCTGTAATATTTTCGGTTCAGATTAGATCCTTAACATTTTCCATATACATCTGTTTGTGATACTATTATCTCTTCTCTTTAAGCCAACTTGTGTTTTGGATTACTCACTTTTGAAATGCATCAATGTACATTTTTCTGTAGTTCCTAATGGGCAACCGTGTTTGCTTTTTTATGATCAGAGTTTCTCAAAAGAGTTTTTCCACAGTAGCTGTCATTGGTTAAAAGGTTAAAATATTGTGCATTTCTATCCAATGGCCAATTTTGTAAAATCCACTCATCTTTCAAATGGTTTATCAAAAACTCACAGAAATATTTTTCATTGTATTGATTTGCAAGAACTGTTGTGTGAACAAAGACATAAAAAAATACAACCAATCAACAGTATCAGCTACCAGTCACTATTTTATAGATAAATAAGATCATTGGTATAAAATATAGCACTATAAAGAGATAATAAGAACAACATATTTTTATAGGGATCATTAATCATACTCTCCTGGATGCTGAACCAGAAATTTATACTCAATTGATAATACAAGTAAATCAACATAGAAAGCTATTACTAAGGAAATATGATACTTTAAGCAGATGTGAAAGATTTAGCTATCCTATATTTATAACTTTTACTGGTATTTATAGAGTGAGCTTAGTTTATGCTTTATTTATTTGAATAATGAGAGTCATGAAAAGATACAGTTTGATTTATTGTAGATCTTCAGGCATGACTTGCAGTAATAATGCTTCCATATGTTTTTGCAGACAGAGCTTTATTATTTTAGCATATAAGGATTTAATTCTTGCTTGGAAATAAACAAAAACTCATTAGCAGTTAGTACAGTGGATGCTAAGTCCTAAGCTGGCCATACTTAGATCAAAATGCAGCTGGCTTAGCAAGGACTGGCCGATTTTCGATCCATGTGAGGCCACTGTGGTTGAACAGAAGTCGATCTACCAATCGGCAGCATATTTCTGCTTGATCAGTGTCACATGCAATAGGATTCAGCAGTGATGTGTATGTTCTGACAGTGGGGGAGTCTCCCCGCTGTCAGACTACAATGACACAGTGGGGAAGATTCCCATATCCACATTGAATGTGTGAATGGTGGAATCAGATCAGTTTATTTCTCAACTCACTGGGTTAACAAAAAAAATAGATCCATGCCTGGCCAGCTTTACTGTCCCCACTGCTTGCAATTGCAATTAGTTTGGGCATGTCCCGATATATGACATGGGATGACAATTGCAAAATCTTAGCTTACAACCTGACACCTGGTCAGCCCTATTCAGCTTTGACCACTTTTTTGCCCAGAAAGGTGCATGACTGCTGAGCTTTGTCTTGGGGATTGTGTGACAGCAAAAAAATTTGTGGAAAACCATCAATGGTATTTACCTGTCCCAGTAATTTGAAAGAATAAAGGTTTGGTCTCATGAGCATCACTGATATATGAACAGAGTTACTGAATACGTAATCTGGCAAATAACATATACATTGCACTTGCTAGAAAGATAACCAACTTGCTCTACTGGAACCATTGTAAGCAGTCAGATAGCATATTTCCTGTGCTCCCTGATCCTTCCCTGAAGCTGAGAAAAATATCCAGTACTTTAAGATTTAGGGGAACATAAGAGCCACCTTCCTTCTCTCATGCAGTTGCCAGTTCTTGAGTTTTTCAGAAAGAACTATTGTGTAAATAAACACAAAAAACACAAAAAAAACACAAAAAACTTCAACTGATCAACAGTAGCAGACTACCAGTCTCTATCTCTATGTTGCTTAGGAAGTAAAAAATCAGTTGTTATGTTTTCAGGAGAATTGGACATGTCAATGCATTTTATTGAATCCTTGGTCTCTTTTATATATGTCAACTTGTACTTAGGTTATATGGTCCCTTATCCGACCTCCGCTTTTTTACTAATTTCCTTTACAACAATTTTTGATCCAGGTTTTTTTTTTTTTCCCAAGAATGAGTAGATATTACTGTCAGGTTTATCATAGAGGTATAAGTGGGCTGTCTTCAAAGATCACAGATAGCAAGTGATATGCTGTTTCAGGGTTGGTATTGCATCAAAAATGAAAGTCTCTCTACACCCAAAACTTCTATTTCAGTTTTTAAGTTTGGTTGTAAATAGGATAAGCTAACTTTTTATAATCTTCAGGGACTCAGGTGGAATGAAATTCTCAAATCAGACGTCCCAGTTTTGCACCACTTCCACATCCAGTAAAAAGCTGGAGATTAAACTACTATAGGGATTCTCTCTGCTAAACTCCCTGAGGGATAAATTATGGGGGTGGGAGGAGATTTTAAATCTACTACTTTCGGATAAAGTTGGCTTATTGAATGCCAATAGCAGTGTTAGTATTTTTAACCTAAAACAAGTTTATATAAGTTATATATAATAGGAAAAAATTGTTGTCACTGTTGTATCGTACATTTGTAAAACAATTTATTTGTATAAAAATTTGCATAAAGATGGCATTCAGTGATGGAGGGATTGCAAGTGCCTGAAAGAAGGACAGAAAGGGGCATAACAAACTTCTATTGATGGCTAATGAGGGAAGTATGAGGGTCTCAGCCCATTGTTGCTATGGTCAGGGAGGCTGCCGGTGATCTTCATTATGGGAAAGGTAATCAGACGCCTTCTCAACATGCATAGAAAATGTGTGTTGTTGAATCTCTTATCTTCCGTTCTTTAATCTCAACCAGTCTTATGGCAACTTTATAATGGCAACTTTATATATTCCTATAAGGACTCTTTAATGAAAGCTGACTATAGATAATTAGAGCAGCAGGAATGGAGGCAGCAGGCATCTGTACTGGCCTCAGGTCACATCAGGCTTATTGGGAGAATAAGACAGTAATCCAACACTGTGTTCTAACATGGTTGATGTTTGTTCCTATTGAGAAGCCTGGTGGTGAATGCTGGTACCTCACAGACAGTCAAAAATCATGAGACTCACTCTAATGTATTTGGGTACCTTAGAGCTAAATATTAATTTCCTCTTTTTTCCAAGAGTGGGGAAGGTTTACTGGAAGGAAAAGCTTACCAGTTGTGCTAGATACCCATCGAAAATAGTTCACCAGTTCTCTGGTGCATGGACAATTCTGTGTATGGACTTCCAGTTTATCAGCTCAATATATAAATAACAACAAGACTGCGTTGAACAACACCAGTAAAAAGGTCATAAAAGAAATACTTATTTCTGAACACAATCCTATATTTCCTTGCAAGGCACCTCTTGGGTGACTAAAGCCGTCTCGCTGCAGCATTATAATGTTATAGTGGGGAAATGTATTTATAGGGATCATCTTTTATCATAAAAAATAAAATACAGGGCAGGCATAAAAATGTCTTTGTGTGCACAACATTCAGTGCAGAGTTTTATTTATCTCATAAAACCATCAGGATGAAATGATAATAGATTCGCTATTTACTTGCTGTAGGTTAACCGTGTGCTTGTTCACAATGCACAGTACTGTATGTGGGCCTGCCGTTAGTGCTGCTGGTTGTTAAACAGTGTGATAAAATCATGATCTTTATAGATACTTTACCAAGACACATAATAACCATTTGCTTTGATCCCTTTGCAGTTTGACAAATACCCTACAAAAGTTGACCCCTTCTACCGTCACAGTGTGAGTTTAAAAGTGCTGTGTTAAAATGTTGGCTTATCTCTGTCTGTAGCATGCCGCAAACATCACCCCACAATAACCTGCCAAGATTTCAACGCTTCCCCTAATCATTTGAGCTTTGGCAATATATGAGCTTCATTCATGTGATTCATTTCTTCTGGAGATGCACTATCCTGTTTTTAATCAAAATTTGTCAGTGCTCATAAACTGTACAAGGAGTCTCACTGTGAGAAAGATGACATACATACAGCGTTAGCTTGTTCCCACTGGGAGAATAATGATCAGCTAGGAATTTTAAATAGGGATTTCATGGGTGTTATAAAACTTACAAGATGAAATTTAAGTTATTCGCATCCAAATCAAATGATGGCTGCAACACATGGAAAGTCTATAATCCAACAAAGTATTTAGATTTGTTAAAGGTTTGCAGAAATTGTGTGATGCAAGGCATATATCTGGTGTGCAGCAGATGGAAAAATAAATAAAATAGCAATACATTACTTCTTGGCTCGGAGTTAGCAATAAAGAAGGTTTTCATCCTTAGCTACAGTTATACCTTTTCCTATGAAACCCTCCAGCAGAAGGAAGTGAACAGTAATTGAAGAGAGTTGTTTGAACCACAAAGATGAAGAGATGTATGGAGAGATAGTTATCAGCAAAATTATTTTGTTATGTATGTTTTCAAAACCTGGAAAAATTGCACAGCAAATGTGAATTCTAATTGAGTTACTGGGTTTGCTAATGGAAATATAACGGGTAGTGAGGAGGAACTGCTGATAGCTACCAAGCATTGTGCATTTACATGTTAATAACAAGTATAGGCAATATTTCTATCAGTACCATGCAACACATCACTTCCTATGTGACCCTTTCATGTTACAATGGTTCAACAGGTGATATTTCTTCATCTAATGTGTTGGTGCACCATTTTCAAAAATAAGAGACATTGGGAAAAGGGCATCAGGTTCTCTGAAAAGCATGTTTTCGCTATTCCCGTGAAGGTGCCACCCAAACATTGGTTTTGGGGTTGATTATACCTTTTATTCATGGTAGGAAGAGTTGTAGAAACAGAAAAAGGGAATAGTTTGATTTATTCTGGCATTTTTTTATGCTGCATAGGTGGGTTTCTAATTGGTTGCTGAAACATATAAAATGATGCCTCCTTCCATATTCAAAGCAGCAATATTGTCAATATGGACAGTGTTTTATGCAAGGAACACTTACGTGAACAAAGTAGTTAATATTTTAAGTTACCCAAATAGGTCAGTTGTACTAGGTCTTTCTGTGGCAGAATAATCTTCCTCTGACATTCATTTCATGTTTTTGGATTTAGGCATTTTAAGCAAGTGAGATACCATACTTGTCTATTAATTAGGTCTGTTCCTAAACTTAAGCATACAATTATAACATATTTATCTCATGTCTTTCAGAACTAGCATAAATTTAGGGTATAGTGCAAAATTTTGAATGCTTTTGCAGTTGCTAATCTAGATTAGGGTATGTTTTTTAAACATTAACCAAAAAGTGTGACTGTGCGTATGGCTGTCTCATATATAACATTATGAGTATTTGGACTGCATCCATTCCATATACGATTATCAGTTTTCTTTTGATTTTCATTTAATTGTTTTGGCCACAATATTTACCAAAAGCACAACTTTCACCACATGTATTGCAATCACATATAATTTGGCCTGATACAATATTCAGAGTGAACAGGTTCACTTGATTAAACCTCGGACTGTGCTAGTAAATGTCAATTATCTGTAGTTCACCCTATATTGACAATTGGCACACCACTAAGATAAAAGAAAAAATATTACAAAATACAATTGGCTTTTAATAATCTTATAAACATTTCATTAAATCTCTAGGGTTATATATAGTCATTCATGTACAACAACAATTAATTGTAGGTTATATGTCATTATAGTTTATTGATAATATATAAGGGCATGAGCAATATATAAGGGCAAGGGTTTAGTCAAAGCAATTGGAGTGGTTGCAGAGAGGGCATTACATCTATTTAATGAAGGTGATGTAGGTGAGTTCAGGGAGGTAAATCTCCTGTCAAGCAGGAAATTTATGTGCAGGAGATAACAGAAAATGTTAGCATGGTCCCTATTGGGTAGCAGCAACATGATCAGTACTGATAAGCAAAGACATCACTGCACCTGTCTTTTTTATTCACTGAATAAAGTTGTGTTTTTTCTGTAAGCAACTTGTGGCTAGCATGTTGTCGTTGATGTATCTCTGATGCTTTTGCAGAATCAACCTTTTTTTAATGCAAACCTATACTTAAATGTTACTGGAAAATTACCTTTCCTGGAACTAGGTTCTCTTCAATGATGGCCACATGTCTAAATACATTGGCACTTGGTCATGTGATCTCTTCTGAAGGTCAGCATTCAGACTGGTTAGTACCGCTTTTCATAAAAGGTCATGTGACCAACTTCCTATACCTACAGAAGGGTATCAGTATTGAGGGGAGCCTGAAGCAGATTTTTTTTCAGAATAAGTATTTCAGCCTTTCTAAAGCCAAACATTTATACAAACAAAGAATGTTAAAGCCCAACCAATGCCAAATTCAAAGTAGGGCAAAAGCATGTAAAATTGTTCTACAAGATTTAATTGCCCGTATGATCACTCACGGCGATGTTGTTTCTCCAAGCAAATCTATGGTATGCACTACTCAAATAGCAGCACTAGTTCTCCACAGCAACTGTTGCTTGGTGCGCTCTAGTGTGGACCTTTTTGATTGCTCTACAAAGCCAGCTGCTCACACACAGAGAGCAGCAATACTTTTTTTTTCAGCACGTATCACAGATTTGTGGTCTGTGCTAGATGAAACAAACACTTTAAGTAAAACTTACTGTTAAAAAAGAACTGTTTACAATGTCAAATTTTATTAAATTAAATTAAATGTTACAATGATGCTACCAGCTCCTTCTCTATTTTCATTTTAGTATCAGTTGGGCTTCAACATGGCTTTATATTTGAGCACAGGATCACTTTAAGCCCCTTCCACATGGTGGGAAGGGGGGGTGACTCCATTTAGATCAGCAGGGGATCTGTCTGATGATCCCTTGCTGATTAGAGCAGAGGAGGCGGATGATAGGTCCATGTCCGGGTCTGTTTACACCCAACTGCCATCCAATCTCATCCGCCTAGATGGGGGGGTAAGGATCTCCTACCATTTTTTTAGCATACCGGTCCATTTACACCCTCCTGTCCATAATGGTGAATGAAGAGTCTGATCAGGAACGCCTTAAAAACTGACAGGCGGACCTGATCAGACCCTTCATGTGAAAGAGGCCTTAATGCTTTCTCTCTGTATTTTAATTTGCGTTACTATGATGCTTAGTGACAAATTTTGAATAAATTATATTTATTTTACATTGCCTTTTGTAGAAAAACAGTAAATTAAATTATGAGGACTTGTTTTGCCTCATATACACAGTGCAGTTATCCAAAGCAAAGAATTTTAGTACTGCCCATTATAAGACAGCCTTTCTTTTGTGTTTGGACACCAGTGTGTTTAAATTTGCCATAGTTTCTAGAAGGTAGGCAGTCAATCAGGCAGCAATCAACTGTAAAGCCAGAGTGGTTGAAATTATTATTCTGAATGGAGATTTTCCAGTGTACAAATAATCTGAAAGTAAAAGATTAGATAGACCTTATAATTGTTTTATTGGTCAGTGATTATTATCAGATTCTTTTGTCAGGAAGCAAAAGAAGGAAGGATGCTCTTTTTATATGTTTTAGTATACAGAGAGTTTATAGCATAACTACTTTCTGTTGTTGCTTGAGAATGAAGCTGCTCCTTAAATGGCCCATAGATAGCATTAGCAGTGACAGTATAAGCAGCAAAGCAGACTAATGAAGTCATAATTGTGCATATTCTTTAATTTCTTACACAACACCATTAAACCTTTTAACAAAGTAATTGAGTTTTAATGGAGTGAAATCCTGGCACTCTTAAAGCTTCATTTTTTTTAATTAGCTTGCTATTTCCCTTGGACTTATTTGGCTTAACATCCCTCCTGCTTTTGATGTACTCTAAATTCTGAAACCACTTAGGCATTCAATCCAATTTAATAATTCATAATTACAAAATCACCTTTTATTTTGGAAGAAAGGAATTCATCAAGGGTATCATTTCTGTGCTAATTAATGTTGAACACCCTTAAAGTTCCCCATTAAGCCAGATTCCCTGACTTGACAGTGGGAACTGATTTTTCAACCCGCATCAGTGTCTGCTTTTGGCTTTGCGCTAGTGCTGTGGTTCTGTGTTGTGTTTTGTGAGATTTGCTTCATTAGGCTATTTTTTTAATGATGTTTTTTTCTTTTTTTTTCAGTTATTTCATTCATACCCACCAGCTGTATCTGGAATTCCTCCCATGATTCCTCCCACTGGTCCCTTTGGATCACTACAAGGGGCATTTCAACCTAAGGTAAGAAGATGTTAGATGTTAGTTTTTCTATGTATGGAGTAACAATGAGAAAATAGAAATTGAATCTAACTCAAATATTACATTGAAGTCCTGAGGTCCAGTGATTGTTCTCACACATACAAATTGTCAAACAAATGGTATTTTCTTATTATGTATGACATAAAACTGTCTACATAATAGTACTTCACCACTTGATCTCACCCTAGGTTAGACAATAGAAATTGTGTTCTAAGAGCCATATACACCAGCAAGAATGCACAGCAGCAGGGCCCTCCTTTGGCATAAACATACATGCTCAGACAATACAAGTGTATGTCTATAGAAAGCTCTTTTAATAAAAATAAAACTTCAGGACATGGGATTGTCCTTGCATATCCGCCTGTCATCTAATATCAATAACTACATAAAACCAGTGCTGCAGAAAGTGCTAAATATTCAGTTGAATATATAGATCCTGGTCTCCTACTGCAGATTACACTGCAGTTAAGCAGTGCAGCCTAGTCAAATATTTCCAACCATAACATATAATTGGATGACATAGGCTCAACACTACACTAATGGGCTCATAGCTTTGCCTTTTACAACTGTCATTAAGATCCCAATGGTAAAATGGTTGACTGTATGTTAACTTCTAATAAAGTGTATATAAATGTAAAATCTTTTCTAGTTTTGGATAAAGTAGTGAAGGTTTTGGACTTCTGTTAGCTTAAGCAGAGATTGTGCCAATACAGTGAGACACAACTATTTAAAGAAGCAGAGGATGGTCAGCAGTGGATGGAGCTAGACAGTGGTGGGAAGAGCAAGATCCAGAAGCAGACTGATTTTACTAAACCAGCCCAAAGCTTGGGTTACACTTAGGTGGCTATATTAGCCCCACTAAAGAAAAAAATACAAAGAGGTGGTGAGGGGAGCAGTCTCAGTGCTACACATACAGAAGGCAAACATGTCCGGTCCCCTGGACAGGAAACACAAAAGAGAAGTCTTTGAAGGATGACTTTAAAAGATGATTAGAAGGAGTTTTTTTCTGTTACGAAGTAAATGGTATTCATCTGCCATCTGCTGAATAAATATTTTGCCCGGAGTGGGGCTTTAAATAGGGTTTTTAAATATTAATGTAGTTAATCTTTAAAAATGCTTCTAAAATAATAAAATCTTCTTGTTTGCCTTGTTGCTAATATCTTTATAGTATGATTTATTCTTATTGTGCTGTGAAGATTATTACTTAAAGAGTAAAAAAACATAAACACAAACCAAGAGCTGCGAGTTTGAATGGCCTCTGAATATGTATTAGGCTATCAGAAGGGCATCATAATGCATTTATTCCTTGATTTCCACACTGTTCTTTTACTGATATTATTTTTGAAGACACATAATTAATAAATCCTCCTCATTTCAGTAAAAGTCAAATATAGTCATGAAATTGTCAATACATATTTTTATACTTTTATGTTGTAATAGTTGGTATATATTGTATTTGCCATGCTTTGTGCATTTTGTATCGTCTGCTTTTGTGTGTATTCTTTTAGCCACAACAGCTTTTTATTAGCAGTTGTCTATCTCAATACTAATCGCTAAGCACGTTACAGTTTAAGTGTTCCATCCTTTAGCAAAACATACTTGTTTTCTTTGTGGCTCCATTGCTTTTGACAGCAAAGTGGCTCTGAAAGTACAATCTGTACCTGCAATCTAATACAGTGCTGACCCAAGGTCATTGTAATGGACTTAACCTGCTTTCGTGATGTGATATTCAAAGCCAATGTACATCCCCTTAATGGTCTGTGAATGTAATAGCAGCCTGTTAGCTAGATGATCAAAGTTCATGATAAATTATGTAGGACCAGAGGAAGGTATGATTTCCTTCTTTATCCTAAAGTGTAAATGTGAAAAGGTACCAGCTTTTACAGGTTTAATGATACATTAAGCTACATGCGTTGTATCTCTTTTTGGCCACTGCTGTTGGATCATGTTGTGTAAAGAGACTACAGATCCATTTTCTAAAAAGACAACAAATTACTCTGTTAGCAAACTGAACATTTTAATATAGCTGAGCTTGCAGCCCAGTGGTAATTGGCAATACAGGACATCTCAGAAGCTGAGCAGTTGAACTGATAACTTTGCGGTAGTGCTGAAGCATCCGTGTGTAATTTCATCTAGGTTAGAGATGGGAGCTTTTCTCATTATCACTGTCCCTGGGGGAATATTGTCTAAGATACTCAACCTACTGACACTTGAAATAAAGAATTGTACAATGACACGGGTGTACAACCTATGGAAAGGTAATACTAACCTTCCGTCTGATCTGGAGTTTAGAAGACCAGGGCTTTATGTTACAGCTTAAAGGTTGACAGAAGGGTGAACCCTGGAAAGATTCATGTTAATATTGTCCCTCATTCCCACTGCCAAAACAGATGATGTTGAGCTTCACTTATCAAGGAAAGTCACACACCATTAGGCCTGAGCTGCCTTAAAATGAAAAAAGAAACTGCCAAGCAGAGGGGCTTGTCAAACACAAGCTAAAGAGATACGAAGTATCACAGGGAAGAAAACTATTTTGTCATTTCCAATTAATTTCACATGTTGTCTCTTTCTCAGACTTCCAATCCTATTGATGTTGCAGCTAGACCTGGAACTGTCCCGCACACTCTGTTGCAGAAGGACCCAAGGGTAAGTGTAAGGGAGAGAAACTCAGTCCTTAGTGTCACCATTATGTCAACTTCTTTCTGGTCCTCCTGGGAGTGATAAATGTCCTTGTCACAAAGAGCTAGTCAGCCTTACACCTTGTGCTTTCCATGGACTTTGTTTCTATTTTCTTGCTTAAGGGACATGTTCCATATTATCTTGATTCTCAGACTGAAGTCTTTCTTGATCATTTTTAATGTCATTTTATCATTATTCCTGTCAGTCGATGCTCACCCTTATGCTAGTGTGGGTTGCAGAGCTCACCAGGGGATCCTATAGGCTGTTTGTTATGATTTAGTGTTCAAAGGACAAGCTTCCTATTATATTTAGAACTTGAGAGTAAGGATTGGAATGAAAATTATTAACTCAGCAAGGATGAGAGGGACTAGATTCAAATTACTAAAGAGCTAATTAGGATTATAGAAAGTGCGGTTTGTCCTCTTTAGAAATGTAAAATGTCCTCTAGATAATTAACACTTGCTTAGAATATGTCACTTTCTTTGCATGCACGATATGAAGCGTAGGTATATATTTAAGGCACAGCTGTTGGCTTCATTCAGGAGAGGCACAGCTTATCTATTCACACTAAAAATACCTCTAAAACAGTTTATTCTGAATGGCTCTTGAAACTGCATAACCGAAAGGTCATTGTGTCCCCCTAGTCCATTTTATTGTCTCGGTTTTGCAGTGAAATATTTAAACGCCTCACAAGGAGCATATGGGAGAGCACAAAAGGCAACCCATCACAATAGATTAACAAAGAGTGTTAGTGTATAATGTCAGTGAAGATAACACAGCCAGTATTTTAAAGTGGTGTTACATACCAATCACTACAAATTTGGGGCTGTCAGAGAGTAGATCTTCTCCTAAGGATTCATACACGTTCTCTTTTAAAGCAGTATTAAACCCATAACCAGAAATGTAATATATTGAATCTTACAAATGGTGGCTGCATTAGTTTTCTTTTGTTTTAGTCTTTTCCCCCTTTTTTCACCTGGTGATCTGGCAAGTAACACACCTACTGTATTAGTGAGACACCACTCTGGATAAATGAGCACAGGATGCACCTTTGGACAGCAGCATTGTCAGTCTGGGGTGCGGAGTGATAGATGTACAAGCAGATTTAAATACACTAACAAATTAAAGCCAAACTCCATATACTGTATTACCTTACAAGCAGTTACAGTAAACGGCTTGTTTCCTTTTGGGCTAAAGGTTTTACATACATACGTGAAAATTGATCATTGTAAGCACCCCTGTCAATGGTAAATGGTTTGTCCTTGTAACTGATAGATAGCCAAAAGATAGCTTATTCTTTTGAAAAACAAGATGAAAATAGAGGAAAGAAAATCTAAAAGAGAAAACAAATGCAGCCATCACATCCAAGAATTGGTAAGCTGCAATATAATATATGTTTGCTTTTGGGTTTAATGCTGCTCTAAGTAATTTATGTTGTACCTGGTTGAAAATTCTGAAGGTTGTAAAAAACCTTCTGTGTGTGCGGCGCCCCCCCCCCCCCCCCCCAGCCACCCACCAATACTTACCTGAGCCCACTTCGATCCAGTGATGTACTTGACAGCCTCTTCTGTCTGAGGACTCTTCCTCTTCATTGGCTGAGATAGCAGCAAGAGCCCATAGGTTCCCACTCTTGTCAAGCATAGCCAGTGAGCCAATGAGGAGAGAACAGGGGTGGGACGGTGCCCCCAAGGCAAGTGGCTTTCCCTGGGGGCACTGCTCGATGGGGAGGAGCCAGGAGCGATGGTGGGGACCCAAAAAGAAGAGAACCGGGGCTGCTCTGTGCAAAATCACTGCACAGAGGAGGTAAGTATAAACATGTTTATTATTTTAGAGAAAAAAATGAAGCTTTAGTGTCACTTTAACCCAGCCAAATGCTGCCCTTCTACCACCATGTGCATTTTAACCTCTGATTATAATACTGTACAGCAGCTACTAAATGGCTCATGGTTGGGCTATCTATAAATTATTTAGTGTAGCTTTTTGACATAATCTTTACTCATACCATGTTGAAATAAAAACTAACACCGTTTGGAATCTCAAGGGACACAGCTTATCATAAGCAGTATGCTTGAATTAGCTGTCATCAAGAAATAGCAGTTTTTGGCATATACTGTATAAGGTATATGCATCCCCAGGACATGTACAGAATGCCTGTAGAATTGCACAATCTCTTTCAAGCTGATCCATATGAATATCTCACAAATCAGGCCAAAAGCCTGTATTGCTGCTAATTACTGTGTGGGGAAAATGTATGCAGGGCTCTTTTTATCTACTCATACTTACTATTCTCTTTTAATTGCTGTCATACGGTCCACAGTCTATGATTTAATTTATGATAATTAACTTTATTGCTGTCTCCATTCTTAGTGTCATATGAAATCTAATAATGGAAATAAATGAAATATAGAAATAGTGTGTTATAATAGCATTATAAGGTTGAGTTTGGAATAGTATGATAGGTAAGTGAATGATTATCAACATCATTTGTGGACAATTTTGCTGGCCAGATATCCCCATCTTTAACTATAAATTTGAACTGTGATTAATTGCTGCTATGCTATGTTATTGATGTTGATTTTTAAAACTTAAGTGTAGCTAAAATAAAAAAAAACCTGAAAAATCAGCACAAGGGAAAAGAGTCACTCAGTAGGATGTGTCTCTTGTGCTGATTCCTCTTCTTTAAGTACAAATCCTCCTTGGTCTACGCAAGCTTCTATAACTCAAACATGCCTTTCCCCTCCCTTCATTGACTTAAAATGGCCATAGATGGGTCAGATCTCAGCAGGGACCAATCAAGATTCGATCCATCTATGGACAGGCTGGTTATACCCAAGTTGATCCATCAATAAACTTGGATATAACCAGCCTGTTGGGTTTTAAGCATGTGATTATTGTCTGGGACTATAGCCCTAGCAGTAATTCTGCTGACAAAGGGTCCCTGCAAGAAGAATACAATAGCACTGCATGAGGCATTGCCCTGACAACGCTGACTGCGTTGGTGAGGGAATCAAGCGATTTTCTTTCCTTACAGCCACGGTGGAAAAAAAGACAATTGATTAATCTATGGCTTGCCTTAGAGAATCTTGCACAGAAAAACTACTGTTTTACGAGACAGATAAATACAGGATATATTATACTATTGATCTGTAGGTTGAAAGTTCAAGTACAAGCATTTCCAGGCATGTTGATGCTTCCACCACTGTTCACCAGAGGTTAGGCCTCTGCTAGCCTATGGAGAGTTTGCTGACATTTAGGCCTCATTTACATTTGTGTTTAGGGAGCAGTAAAAAACAACTAGGATTAATTTTTATCACCTATACTTATGCTGAAAAAGCAACTGGGAGGGGTCGATTACATATGCTGTGGTATGAATGCTTTGCAAAAATTGTCCGTACAGTCACATTCAACTGGAGGTACCACCTGATGAACATGACCTGCTTAACTAAATGGGGGACCCTGCAAATGCTCCACAGCCAGATGCAATGCACATGGTTAAAGTGCACTAGTATGGAGTTTAAGGGGTAAAAACAGTCAGTGAGAAGGGGATAGTGTGCCTTCTCACCACATGTCGGTTGCTCTCTGAAGAGTGGTCTAAACATGGATCACTCTTCAGTGAGCTTAACCTGTTCATGACCTCACTATAGCCAAAAGATGGCTACAGCACGGCCGGCTAGTTCTAGGAGGGTGTGCATGTATGTCCTCCCAGAACCATGCTCATGGGGCGTGCACTGTACCAGATATGTGATCGCTGTGTCCTTCGGATACAGCTGATCATATGACGAAGGAACGGGCCAATCACGGCCGCTTTTACCATGTAACCAGCTGTGTCCAATCACAGATGATCACCAGGTAAATTGGAAATGCCACTAATCAGCAGTCCTCTCCTCACGCTGACAGCAAGTGAGGAGAAGAGAATCGGTAAGCGGCATTTTGCAGAGGGACATCTACACTGATCATCAGTGTCCTGGTGATCAGTGTAGCCCCATCAGTGCGGCCAGTAGTGCTCATCAGTGCCCATCTGTGCTGGCAACCAGTGCCCATCAATTGAATCAATGCCCATCAATTGAATCAGTGCTGCATATCCTATGCCGCCTTACATAAGTGCCACCTAACAGTGCCCATTAGTGCCGCCTAATAGTGCCCATCAGTGCCGCCTAACAGTGCCCATCAGTGCCACCTATCAGTGCAGCCTATCAGTGTCCATCAGGGACTCCTCATCAGTGCCCAATCAATGAAGCCTTTCAGTGCCCATCAGTGAAGGGGAAAAATTACTTATTTACAAAACTTTATAACAGAAACTAAGAAAAACTTTTTTTCAAAATTTTTGTTTTTTTTTAGTTTGTTTTGCAAAAAATAAAACCACCAGTGGTGATTAAATACCACCAAAAAAAGCTCTATTTGTCTCAAAAAATTCTAAAAATATAGTTTGGGTACAGTGTTGCATGACCATGCAATTGTCATTCAAAGTATGAGAGCGCTGAAAGCTGAAAATTGGTCTGGGCAGGAAAGAGGTAAAAGTGCCTGGTAGGAAAGTGGTTAAATGATTAAGGCAAAGCTTCCTCATAGGGCTTAAAGAACTCAAATACATGGACAGTCAATGAAACAGCCATAGGGTGAAAGTCTCATGTTTATGGTTGGCCTTTAGCCATGACAGATAACCACTGGTAGTGCAAACTATGATCTGTCAGGCTAAAAATTTCTAAGAGATAAAAAGTGAGCGCTATCCGGAGATCTCAAAGTGGCTAGAACACCAAAAGGTAACCAAGAGAAAACCTTCCAATAAAGTACATAAAAACATATATATATAAAAACATATATAAGGTGCAGCGCTATAATAGTAAATGGCATATATCACATATAAGGTATATATAAACACTGAAGTGCAAATGTCAAATCACACTGCGGTGAAATTAAGTGAGATGAAAAAAGTCCCAAAATAAATCAAACGTGGGGATCCAAAAGATCCT